GGCACAGCCAGCCTGCAGTCACCCTCAGACAGGCGACACAGACGCTGTTTGTGCGGTCCTCTTTGGTCAGGAGCAGGAGTTTCATCAGATGCTGTTTGCTGACATTCAGTCACTTGTCACCGAGTCGGCGCCCAATGATCAGATGTCGCGGTCACGTCCCGTCGCCAGGCCTGTCGCTGGCTCCCCGTTTGCGTAGTGCTCGCTTCCCTGCCGGTATCTTCTGCGCGACGCCGGGAGCGCGCCTGCGGGGCCGCTGGCAGTGAGCTGTGGCCGTGCTCAGGGCTTGCACAGCACCGAGCAGCGGTGGGATTGAACCCGTCAGCCCAGTCTTCAGAAACGAGAGCGCGTTTCCAGCACCATCGGCGTCTCGCTCCTCCCCAGCCAGCTGCCCGCTCCGTTAGTCGCACCCCGGGCGCTCGGAGGTTTCGGGGCCGTGCAGGCTTCGTTGGTGCTGGGGAAGGGCAGGAAGGCACCCCGGGCGGGAGGACGGCCCCGTGGGCTGGGGACGGTGCCAGCGCCATCCCCCGTGCCGGCAGCGGGAATTGTGCAGCTATTCCAAAGGGGGACAGATGCCTCCTGCGCTGCGGCCGGGAGGGACGGGGCACGCCGTGCTGCGCTTCCATCGGGAGGTACCCTGGATCGAAGTGGTTGGAGGCCCCATTTGGTTTGTTTGAAGAAAGAAAAAATTAAAAAAAGGGAATGAATTCTAGTAGATGATGCTTCTTCCTCTGAGCACTCTGTGTTAACTCCATTTCTGACTGGCTTGGACCCTTTCTAGGGGCTCTCCTGCCTGAGTTCCTGCCGGACTGAACAGCAAAACTCCACCCCGGGAAGAACCACTCAGGCACCAATTTCCCCTGATTTATGGCTGCGCGTTGGATTCTCCTTTAGCGTGCGATTAGTGCAGGCAGCGGGAACAGCCCGCGCCGGCTGCCCCCGCACCTGCCGCAGATGTTGTGGCAACTGGCAAGCCCCCGCCGAGTGGTTTAATTCACGCTGAAGTTCAGCGCACAGCGCTGCTGGGAACGGCTCGCAGAGGTGAGCCAGTGTCCGGAGCGGCTGGGAAGGCATCGCGGCCCTCCCGAAGGGTCCACTCCTTACCTGCGTGCCATCAGCCCTCAGCTGGCACTGTGGAAACAGAGGGAAATTATTTCCAGGCTAAGGCTGGGTCTGTAGTCGCTGCGTCCCAGAGCTGCGCGTCCAAGTCAGCATCCGCACTCGCCCTCAGGACCCTAGAGCATCCCAGGACTTTTAATAGCGTTTTTCCAGCTAGCAAGGAAAGCAAGAGAGGGAGTTGCACTCCTAAGCTGATCAAACGCTGCTTTCCAAGGAAGGTAAAAAACTAATCCATAGAATCATAGAATGATTAAGGTAGGAAAAGATCTCTAAGATCATCCAGTCCAACCGTCACCCCAACACCCCCACACCTGCTAAACCATGTCCCCAAGTGCCACATCCACACGTTTCCCCCCGGGGGTGGGGCCCCCCCCCCCTGCCCTGGGCAGCCTGCTCCAATGCCTGGCCACTCTGTCAGTAAAGAAATTTTTCCTCATATCTAATCTGAACCTCTCCTGATGCAACTTGAGACCATCCAAGTTTCTTGAAAGTCTCGGTGAGAGTCCACGCGTAGCTGGAACCCAAGCCCACCGTCCGTACACCAAGCATTTCGTGCCTGCACTTGCCCCAAAAGTATGGAAACTGCATTTTAACGGTTGCCTAGGGTATAAGCCAAATGTTAAAAACTGTTACAGACACATGTTAAAAGGAGACAAAAAACCCCTGCCTTTTGTTGAAGCGAGCTCGGGGCCAGGCTGGAGATGGGAGCCATGGCGGCGGGTGGCCAGGCCACGGAACGCTGCTGCCTCCCTGGCTGCTGCCCTCCCGCCCCGTTACCTGAACGCGG